AAACAAAAGAAAGCACACCTTCAACCTTCTACACCAACATCCACCTGTCAAAGGCTCCTCGCTGGACTCGGATTCTAAGGTGGTGATGAGGTTGTTCAACATCTTTCGCACATTGGCCATGGGATCGGCACCCGTGCCGCTGGCGCTGCTCAAGCGCGTCGCCATGGAGAAGAGAACACGGCTGTTGATCTTCATGGCCTCGAAACGGTTGTTGAAGCATGAAGAAGTCATACTCCACACCCCAGACAGAATCCAGTGGGATCAAGGGCCTAAGGATCCTAAGGGCCCAAGTAGTGGGGGTTCAAACCAAATCTCCAAGACTCCAAACCTTGACGCACCAAAAAGGTGTGGAAATAAAAACAAAAATAAAAAAAACAATAACAATAACAATAATAGGGACCAAATAGGGAGAAGGTTCGGGAAATAGACCACAACGTGACCACAACCCCATTTTGTCTAGAAGAGGTCCCTCTTCCAGTTATTCTTCCGGTCAGATGCTATCACCACCGACCGGGTGATCACTGACCGATCACATCGACCGAATCACCTCGACCTCACCTGATTCTGCAGGTACTCGGCTGCGCGGCTCTGTGCCGCACTCACGCTCCGGGGCCAGGAGAGGGACACCAGCGCTGTGGCGCGTTGCGTCAAGGAGAGGCGTCCTGGACCCGTAAAAGACTCGAAGAGAGTGGCACTTGTTTTGGTTGGGGGGGAGATGGGTGAGGAGTGAGCTGGAAATGGTGCGAAGCATTGGTTTGATGTCTTCGACCACCCAGACTCGCTTTTGGGCGCAATTCGGCGCCAGATCCCAGTGACCATGCCTTTCGAGATCGCAGCACGAGGGGGTCTGTCCTTGTGTGCGATCGATTTCCTGAGAGGACAGGAGATCAATGGTCTTCTCGATGGCACTGAGCTCGCCTTCACGAAGCTTTTGCCGCTCTTTGTAGTCTTTGGCTTTCTGAGTACAGCTTTGGTTCACCTCCGCGGGACGGACGACTGGGTGCCAGGAGGGGTGGTGCTTCAACACCTAACACCCTGCGAGCAGTGCAAAACTCCTGAAAACACCCAGAAACACCTCATCACTTCGCAACTCAACCTGCTCGATGTCCAAACTCCACCTGGCCCCCCTCCTTGCTTCTCTTGGCTGCGCCTCACTCAAATAGCTCTCCATCTCCTTCTTGGAGGCCTCTGCATCCGCGAGTTGAGATTTGGAGCTGCCCAAGGCCTTCTCTTCTGTGGCCTTCCGCTGCTTCAGCTCTGCCTGCTGTGCCTCCGCTTGGCTGATGAGAGTGCTCAGCTCTTGCATTAGGCTCTGATGCGCATGGTGCAAGGTCATCTCCTCCCAAGGCCATGAGACACATGGACGAACTAGGAACAAGAAGCTACTAGGAGCAAAGCCTGCCAGCCACGTGATTCTTCGCTTTTTCTCCACGGGGTCTGACAGGACCGCGTCCGCATGAGGGGAGCGGTTGGTCGGTCGGTCGGTCGGTCGGTCAACCGACGACAGGTCCCTTATAAGGGGCACCCCTAGAACGTCTGCAACAGACGTCTGCAACAGACACCGGTTCGGGGAAAAAATACATGAACCACACCAAAGGCCAAAAGCCAATGGATGCCCCTGAGCTAAGATGGCTGTCCATTGGGTGATTTGGTGACCCAAAATTCTTATGCATCAGGGTCGACGCGAGCAACACCCAGCTTGCTGTCCTCCTTCTCCAGCTTGCTCCGCTCATCCGAGAACCTGTCCCTGAGCTCGTTCAGCATCTCCTCGATTCCTTGGCAAGTGACTCTCATCCTACATGAGGGGTGAACTGAACTCAAGTAAAATGAAGTAAATCAAACTTGTGCTTCCAATTGTCAGGTCTTGAAAACATGGTTTCGGTCGGGTTTGAGACAGGAAGGCCCAGCACCCCCCCGAAGCTTTCAAGACCGCAACACCACACAACTTTCAGGGCTCACCAACAAGACCCACCAAGTCCACGGTACCCCACCAACCTCATATGCTGCTCCCGCCGAGTGAAAACATTCTTGTCCACCAGTTCGGATACTCAGGTGCACAGTTCCCCGTCAAATACTGTTATGCATCAGCTCCGACCTTACCATTTTTGTCCAAGTTTTGCAGATGTCCATCATCCAAACCTCCCCAGCACACCCTCCGCCCCCAGGAAAGACCGCTCCATCACCTTACCTCGGCCTGGCCTCGCCCCCCCCAAAAAAGCCTCGAAATTGGTTCACGGCACGGTCCGAGGAGAAGTCCAAAGAGTCCAGCTCCGGCGCGAGGTTCGAATGGTACACCGCCAAAAAGGCCGCCACCTGGCGGTGGTCCGCATTCGTCCGTGGTGAGGGAAATGCGGACGTGAAAGGAGTCAAGAACTGGTACCGGGGGCAGATCATGATGCCAGCAGAAGGGAAAGATGTGCTTGGAGTAACAGACAGAGTGGGACTCAAGACAGAGTAAGTTAGTAAGGCTTCAAGGGCCATAAGCCTTGTTTGACACTTCAAAGTCACCAGTCAATGCATCTATCTGATTACCACAGAAAACCGGACGCTGCGCCCGCCACCATCCCGGCACATCCGGCACATCCTCCCAAGTGACCCACCTTCTGTGCAGCATGTGGTGGCAGCTTCGTCAGGAGGCTAACACCCTGTGAGGGCGACGTCTTCAAAGAGCGTGAGGCCTTCAGAATCGCCTGGATCGACTCAGTGTAGTCTTGATGCGTCTCCTTGTATAGGCTCGCCTCCTTCGTGCCTGAAGTAAGCCCGTGGCAAGTGGAGCTATTTCTGAAATATCCCGGAAAGTGCACGTAGAAAACAATTTTGCGATGCAGTCAGGGTTGGTTCCCAACTTCTCAATCGGAAAACAGTTGCAGCTCAAGCTTCGTTTCAAGGTGGCATTCTCCTTTTCCACCTCCCACTTCTCCAAGTCCTTCACCAACTCCGCCAACTTCGCCTTCCCCGCAGCGATCTTCGCCTCGGAGTCCTCGCCCGCGGCCAGCAGCAGCGCCGCCGCGTCGCCGGCCTCGCCCAGCTCGCGGGTCTTGGTCGCCAGCTCGGCCTCGCACCAACTGCTGAAGCTCGCGTACTGCCTCGGCGGCTTGGTCGCCCTGCGTCACGGTGTGTGACGGGTGAAGAAGGGGTGAAGACAGGTGAAGACGGGTGAAGACGGCTGAACATGGAGGTTCCGAGGTTCTTCTCTGAGTTGTTCAGAGAGGACCGAAGCTTCGGTTCAGCTTCGGTTCGAAAGTGCCAGCTGAGATGCTGGTCTATCGGCCACGTCCGTGGACCCTTGGCGGCATCGCGTCGGCCACGTCTGCGTGAGGCCACGATGAACGCCGCGAGTGTTTGGTCCACTCAACGGAGACACTCCTTCCTGCAAACCCGCTTTCCCCACCAGAAATCAGTCCTGGTTGGAACCCAGTCTATGGCGCCAGCGACTGAGGTCCTTTACATACAAAATGGCTGGGACTCTGGAAACATCCAAGTGTTTCTGGCGGGTCGGACTGAGTTTCCAGGTTTGTACGGTGAGATGCGGATGGGGTGGGGGACTCCCCCAAAGGCCCCCCAGGTAGACGGTAGCCAGGTGGACCTCAAGGCCTGGTCTTTGTTCGAGGGCTGCACTGTCGGTCATCTTTTGTTTTGAGACCTCCCAACAGAGGTTCAATGACCCGACTATCCCATAGGTACCCCAGTAGGGTCCTTTAAGGTCACTTAACCTCTCTTGGTCTGTCGTTTGCAATTGCGAGGGTCGTGAGAAACTCCCGTTTCGCGAGACGAGGAGAATGTGTGGGTCGTGGAACACGACCCTTGGTTTCCTGGCTGCCCCATGTTCCAAGGCACATGACTGAATCCATGCAGAGATCGTTTCCGGAAGCCGGGCGGTGGAGTTGGATGGCTTCGGGATGAGCAGAACATGCTTGACTTCGGGATGGAAACTAAGAGACAGCTTTGGGTGGATTAAGACATTTCGATCCAACAGATTCGGGTGACGTTTCAAACTCTTGATTCGTCAGAATTTCGCTGCCTGCATCCATGGGAACAAAGACATCCCCTGACGCTGATGGTTGAAAAGGCAAATTGGAATTGTGAATTGTGTGCTCCCTATCTATCAAGATGACAGAGGTTTTGCTCCGTATCTTCATCAGTGCTTCACAACAAACCTGTATCCTGTATACCCAATGTCTACCTGGGTTATCCAATGGATGTCCAATAGGTTACTCTAGACTGCTTGTGGACCTCCGGACACTTTTTGGATAATCCTGGTATGTGATCTATGTGTCGTTGGTATCCGCACGTTGATCCTGTGATGCGGACAAAGCCACACTTCCTCTTCATGCTTCTCCTTCTCGCTGGATTCCTTCATGCCTTGCAACATGGAGACCACCTTCTTGAGTACCGGTGCAGCTTCATGTGGTGCGACGAGCAGCAATGACAAACTTCCAAGGAAGATGCCACACTTCATTGTGATGCGCACTCCTTCCCTCCCTGGCCACTCCAAAGAGGCTGAAATGCTTTGCGGTGGAGCAAGGTCGGATCGTTGAAACCCGTCCGAAGTGACGACAAAGGCAGGAACTGGGAGAGAACCCTTTTTCTGAGACTCGTCCGAATCACCCTGAGACTTTTCCAGATTTCTGGAAAAGATTCACAACATCTCCGCTGAACCTTCTGACTGTCAAGAAAAAGCTGATCAGGTCATCCCTGTACCACTTGATTCTGTCCCAAAACCCGTCGAGTTTGGAAGAGGCATCAAATCCGAGTTGCCCCCTTTGTCTCTCGGGACCACTGAGGACAATCCAAAATCACTCCTCAACCGCCTAGATCAGCTACAGGGTGCGATTCAACTCTCCAGGATCCAAAAGAAAAATTCACTTCTCACTCGTCATGTTTGCCCTTCGAAGATCTTGCAAGCACCAGGTCTACAGTCTACTCTCCTTGCTCGTTCGAGTTGAAGAGTCTCTAGGGTCTACTCTCTCTTGCCCATGTCCAGTCCATTAGACTCGCGCCTCGGGGGGCATATCTGCAAAATGCTGAGAGAGGAAGTCGAAGAACCTCAGATCCCCCCACGCGAGCTGCTGAGCGCACACTCGGACCTGCTGAGAGCAGCTCAGGCAGCCCGGAAACTGATCTGTAGCTACAACATTCTCTTCAATGTTTTCCCACTAACATCACTAGCCAACTCTTAAAGGCCTACATGTTCTTGCTGTCGATCATCAACCCATCAACAAGTCCTCATTCGTGGGACATTCACACAAACTAGGACCAACTCATCTGTACAGTAGCTGTTTCTTCCCGTGCGTTGACCTTGCCGTTCACCCGTTGGCCACCTGAGAAGCCCCACAACGACTGGGGCAGCTCCACATCCCACAAGTTGCCTCGCCCTGGGCCGTTCCGCCGCGGGACGCCGCAGCACGCGGTTGGGCCGTAGCACGCACACGACAAAGTGTCTCCAGGTGCAAACACGGTACGAAACCCCATCTGGTATGTCCTTCTTCAGCCCAACCGGATAGAACAACCCAAAACGACCCAAATCTCCGTCGTGGAAATTCTCCAAAGACCGGCACGGAGAATGCCGGTCTTGGCCGTGTGGGTGGTGTTTTCCGTCACACCCTTGATGAACCATATCAGTATCTAGTGAGAAACTTCGCACCAAAGAACTTCCAACTGAAAAAATATCCCACTGGGTCTTGCTACCAAGGATTGCAAGATTCTAAGCCTGTCGCAACTTGCGTTCAACACGTCAGGCATTGATGTTGCCTTGAAGCTCAGAAACCTGTCCCAACATCATCCCCAGCTGACCCCGGCTGCCCAAGATTAAAACCAACTTCATCCCAACCATTCCGCTTTTCATCCGAATCCAAGTCTGGTCCGTCCACTGGGTCGTGCGGACAACAGCGCAACTTCTTGAGCTCTCTGATGGTCTGAAGAAAATCCTCGAGCGAAGCCGGGCTCAGCTGGCGCTCTCCGCCGGCGGAGCGGAGCACTCCGCAAGGGGGTCCGCTCAGTGAAAACTGGTGCTTTGGTTTTGGGTTTCGGTCTCTCAGTCGCTCGGAGAAAACCTCTGAAGCCTTCGGCCACGCAGGCTTTTTCCCCACCCAGAGTGTCCGCTGTTCTCCACGGGCCTGACCGCCTTCCTTCACGTCCGTCGACGGTCGAAGACGTTTCATTGGGCACCCCTCACGTCGAAGGCGCGCTTGGTCGTGGCGAACCTGGCGGAGGATGGCAGCCCGGTCGGTCCAAGGCCACTATAAAAGTTGTCTTTGGGATCCGAGAACGAATGTCCTTTACTCCGGTGGTGGCAAAAATAATCAAACTTGGTCTTTGGACTTCTAGGGAGGCTGAACACATCCTGGTCAAATCCTCAAAGCAGTCCGTCCGTCAAGAAATCCAAGAAGTTCACCATGGTGACTGGGTTTGCAAAAGGACTGGGCTTGACAGATGATCCTGCCCATGTTTTTCGTGTTTGGTTAGTCGGATTCAGGTCCTCGAAGCCTGGAGGGTTTCAGGTCCTCAGCGCCAGGCCAGGCGGTTTCTTCAGATCATGCCCCTCCAGTGGTTGGAAGATCGAAGTATGGCAGGAGACCTTCGTTGACCCTACCTGGAAGGTCAAGCGCATACCGAGCGCTCCGGTGGAAAGACCCATCAAACCGAGCTTCACCGTCGAAAAAGCGTAGGGCACCCAAAAATGTTAAACATATTAGTTCAAAGAAGTTTTATAAACTCAAATTATAGCGGGTTATTTGCAAAAAACATAACAACTAACCACAATTACCTCATTCATTCCACAAAATCATCACTACTAACCATAGCATCATCTCATTCATTTTCATAAATCAAAACAACCTACAATCTCTATACTACTATACCTCATCCATTTTATAGAAATCATCACAGTCAATACAGCATCACGTCATCCATTCCATACCCAAAACAAAACAACCAAACAAAAAAACAAACCAAGCAAAGCACAACATATAAACAAAACAATAGACAACAACAATACATATAATTCCTTAGTCTTTTATAATCCTACCTTACAAACCCATAATTCTAATAATAGTATTGTTAAAATTATGTTAGTAGTAAATGTCTTCAATAATTACTAATTCAAAATGACATGCTTGTATTCCTATTATACTATCTTTATCATTGTCTTCATCTATATCTTTCTGTATTTCTTCAACTGCTTTATCTAATACATCGTCTATATTATCGCTATCTACATATTCATCAAAGCCATTCATAAAATAAATCTCCCTATAACTAAATTCATGTTCTCCATAATCCTTTTCTTGGAGTTGCTACTAATTGAAACTTCAATATCAAGTTTAACTCTATAATTTACATCATCTTCTACTTCTTCATAAAGTAAGGACAGTAATTCTTCTTTTTCTTCTGTTATTGTGTCTTCTATACTTTTTAAACTAAATGGCACTCCCTCTCTCATAATACAGTATTCAGTTAGATATATTTTTTTTCTTGATTTCAAATGTCGTGTTATTTTAGGACCAAGTCTTGACATCTTATATTTGTTGTGTATTCTCTTTAATGCTTCAATATGCCAATATTTAATTTTCAAATAGTTAGGGTCTCCAATGTTATAAAAAGCTATTTTGCTCAGCACATCAACAGGAAAGTCCTTCACGCAATCCATCCTACCAACATACTTAAATAACAGTTCTTTAGGAATATATTCTATGATTAAAAAACATTCTTGTAAAAACTACTGAAAGATAAATTAACTACACAAAATATATACTATTATATGATGAAAAAAATTATAGACTATTTTTTGAGTAATGATTTAGCAGAAATACAAAAGAGATGAAGAAAAGAATTGAAGTCCATAATCATAGACAACAGGAAATTCAGATACAACAAAGACAAACCCATATCAAATGGTTTAACAAACAAAAAAATATTATCAGTAAAGAAAACTAATGAATACAGAAGTTATGCTATGAAAAAGGCAACGGATGTTGTAAGTAGAGAAAGGGTTAGACATTTATTATATAACCAAACACGCAATAAGAAATAAATTTAGGGTCAAAGATATTCAATCAGCATTTAGAAGATATGCTAATTCAATAGTTTTAGAAACAAGCACTTTCAAGGAGAAAGAGGATTAGAAATGGTTGCTCACCAAAAGCAAAGACTATCAGAATGTTTAAGCAATAATAGAAACATGAAACTTAACATAAGAACGGAAGGATTATTTGAAAAACCTGAATATGATGACGGAGGAAATGAATTAGGAAGTCAAGAACTTGTATATGCTTTACCATCAACATATCATCCAATTCACAATGAAGATGAACTGACACAAGCATTAGAAGATAGTGTTATTCAAATCCGATTACAAATACAAAATTTGGAAGGCTCAACATCTAATTTAAGATTTAAAAAGATTTTATCAATAACTATTCACTATGACAAATTTGACCCAACAAGAGCAGGCAGTTTTATAGAATTACCAGAATGGATTAAATCAAAGAAAGCTTGTATCAACATTAAAAATAAAGACCACAAATGGTTCAAATACTGTATTCAATCCGTAGTCTATCACAAAATTGGCAACATCACCCGGAGGAAATGTTCCACTATAATAAACTAAACGATGATATTTTGAACTGGGAGCCATGCGTTCTGTGCGAGGTCGACTTTGAAAGGGTCGAATGTACGGCATCTCATCCTTTTTGAGTGTTCTGAACAAACCCCGGCAGCCTTTTTGGCTAGCAGCAATCATCCAGGTTCTGTATTCTTGCGTCTCTGTGGCAAAAACTTCATCCTGGTGCAGGGTCCATTGCTCTTTGCTGAACTTAAGCAAAACCTGAACGTGTTCATCATCGTGTTCTGTGAACAGCATCTGGTAGGGGAGCATGTAGCCCTCTAAAGTGATGTTGGCATCATTGTTCCAGTGCTCAGCCACATGCCATCCAAGGCGCTCCAGGTGTTGCATGGCTGCGGTTTCACGATTGCTTCTGTGCAGGTGTTGTTGCAATCTGACTTCAATTTGTGACCAAAAGGCCAAAGTGCCCCTTCCTTTGGATAATCCAAATCAACTTCTAATATGCATCCTATGTCATCATCATCACTATATTTCATTACTCTCTGTTCATCCATTCTACCGTAATGCCATTTAAAATCATCAGAGGGAAGTTTCTTACACATTGCTCCATAAAGGTTATTAGCATCTAAATAACTTATATATGATGACGGTTTAGATTTATCATAATACGCATTCATGTATTTATTTTTTGCTTCTACTTTCTTAAAGGAGCACTGTGTCATTCCTCCTCTTAATCCATGTTCAATCATCTCATACAGTTCTTTTATGTGTATTTGTTGTAGTCTAACTCCTGTCAATGATAAAAAGGCATTCCAAGAATAGTTAGGTAAAGTGATATAATATGCTGGGTCTAAACCATAATAGTTTAAGCACATGTCCCTAAAATTTAAAAAACATCAGTTAGCAAATATACATCAGTCATCAAATATATATATCATGATACAGTAGTCACCAAGATTCTGAATGTCAAAATATTTCCACGCAATATTTGCTCTGGCGTAGTCTTTGTCAGTTATGTTTTCTTCATATATTTAGACTGTATATAAAAATCTTCTTTGTCTGCTAGTTTTGTTTCATCGAATTTCTCCCATTAGTTCATGTAGTCATAGGGATAGACACCCTTATCATATCAGTCAGCAAATTCAAATCAGTTTTGGATTTGATGTATGGGTTAGTGCGTGCACATCCAAAACGAGTTTCCCAGTCTTTAATCTTTTCATGTCCTTCATATGTTTTAACTTAACTAATTTATCTAATGATGCTGTTAAGAAAGCAAAACTGTCTTTAAACTGACAAGCGCCAAATGAAAAGGTTATGATGTTTTTCGCTGTTTTGCGCTATTACATCTATTCTTTTGTTTTGGTTTAGTTCTATGTTTAGTTCATTTGCTTTTGCTATGATTAAGTGAGCGTCGAAATTGTTTAGATTATGAAAGAAAATAGTGATGTTAAAATACCTATATAAATGAATAATCCACATTACATTTTACATGCAACGCGCCTCTGTATTTGCCTGTGAGGTGGCAGCGGTCTTGGACTTTTTTATCATCAGGTTGAAATTTCTTCTCACATATAGAGCAGTGGGTCGCGCTTCTAAATTCTGTCTTTTGTTCGTAAGTTAATTCATCCATTGGTGTATTAACATTCATCTTTTCAAATATATCTTTCTTAATTTCAGTCAGTTGTTCTACAAACTTTATCATACAATCCTCACCTCTGTATAAGTTTTGTTGGCATGTATTATCAATCCTGCTTACTACATTCAACATATAACCGCACGGTTTATGTTCCTGATATGTGCCTTTTATACCATTGTTGGAGTTAGTTGTTAGACATTCAAAATCACCATAGATTACAAAAAGACAAGGCAATTTAGTATTATGCCTTTCAAATTCTATGTAAGTGTCTTTATCAGGCATCTTGGTTTGTTGTCCTTCTGATGCCATACATCCCTTCTCAAAATGGTTCTTATATGCCTTTTCTGATGAGAAAGGGTTCAAGCAATGATGGCAGTAGTGTTTCTTGTTGATATTTTTGTTGCTTTGGCAGTTAAGTAATCTACTTTTGTTTTTCACTAATACATAGTGATAGTTATTACCTTCATCGTAGACATTTAATAAATAAATTTCATATTTTGCATTTCTATTTTTAGTGTCTCTATGTATGATTATTTTATTATCATTTAGGCAGCCATCAGTTACAAAAACATTTATTGAAACTAAGTTGTTGTTCTCTTCAAATCTGTCTATGTCCCTATTGCCAGTTGGACATTTTACACCATCACAGTTCAAAATATAATCGTTTTACTTTATTATAGTGGAACATTTCCTCCGGGTGATGTTTGCTAATTTTGTCATAGACTACGGATTGAATACAGTATTTGAAACATGCGTGGTCTTTATTTTTAATGTTGATACAAGCTTTCTTTGATTTAATCCATTCTGGTAATTCTATAAAACTGCCTGCTCTTGTTGGGTCAAATTTGTCATAGTGAATAGTTATTGATAAAATCTTTTTAAATCTTTAATTAGATGTTGAACCTTCCAAATTTTGTCTTTGTAATCGGATCTGAATAACACTATCTTCTAATGCTTGTGTCAGTTCATCTTCATTGTGAATTGGATGATATGTTGATGGTAAAGCATATACAAGTTCTTGACCTCTTAATTCATTTCCTCCATCATCATATTCAGGTTTTTCAAATAATCCTTCCGTTCTTATGTTAAGTTTCATGTTTCTATTATTGCTTAAAAATTCTGATAGTCTTTGCTTTTGGTGAGCAATCATTTCTAATCCTCTTTCTCCTTGAAAGTGCTGGTTTTCTAAAACTACTGAATTAGCATATCTTCTAAATGCTGATTGAATATCTTTGACCCTAAATTTATTTCTTATTGCGTGTTGGTTATTAATTGTCTAACCCTTTCTCTACTTACAACATCCGTTGCCTTTTTCATAGCATAACTTCTGTATTCATTAGTGTTCTTTACTGATAATAATTTCGTTGTTAAAACATATTATATGGGTTTGTCTTTGTTGTATCTGAATTTCCTGTTGTCTATAATTATGGACTTCAATTCGGTTCTTCCTCTCTTTGGTATTTCTGCTAAATCATTACTCAATAAATAGTCTATAACTTGTTTCATCATATACTAGTATATATTTTATTTAGTTAATTTATCTTTAAGTAGTTTTTACAAGAATGTTTTTTAATCATAGAATATATTCCTAAAGAACTGTTATTTAAGTATATTATTAGGATGGATTGCGTGAAGTACTTTCCTGTTGATGTGCTGAGCAAAATAGCTTCTTATAAAATTGGAGACCCTAAGTATTTGAAAATTAAATATTGACATATTGAAGCATTAAAGAGAATGCAAAACAAATATGAGATGTCAAGACTTGGTCCTAAAATAACAAGACATGTGAAATCAAGAAAAACGATATATCTAATTGAATACTGTATTATGAGAGGGGGAGTGCCATTTAGTTTAAAAAGTATAGAAGGCATAATAACAGAAGAAAAAGAAGAATTACTGTCCTTACTTTATGAAGAAGTAGAAGATGATGTAAATTATAGAGTTTAACTTGATATTGAAGTTCAATTAGTGGCAAAACTCAAAACTCCCAGAAAAGGAATATGGAGAAAATGAATTTAGTTATAGGGAGATGTATTTTATGAATGGCTTTGATGAATATGTAGCTAAAGATAATATAGACGATGTATTAGATAAAGCAGTTGAAGAAATACAGGAGAAGATATAGATGAAGACAATGATAAAGATAGTATAATAGGAATACAAGCATGTCATTTTTGAATTAGTAATTATTGAAGACATTTACTACTAACATAAGTTTAACAACAATATTATTAGAATTATGGGCTTGTAAGATAGGATTATAAAAGACTAAGGAATTATCTGTATTGTTGTTGTCTATTGTTTTGTTTTTATGTTGTGCTTTGCTTGGTTTGTTTTTTTGTTTGGTTGTTTTGTTTTGGGTATGGAATGGATGAGGTGATGCTGTATTGACTGTGATGATTTCTATAAAATGGATGAGGTATAGTAGTATAGAGATTGTAGGTTGTTTTGATTTATGAAAATGAATGAGATGATGATATGGTTAGTAGTGATGATTTTGTGGAGTGAATGAGGTAATTGTGGTTAGTTGTTATGTTTTTTTGCAAATAGTTATTGAGTTGTTAACCCGCCATAAATTGAGTGTATAAACCTTCTTTGAACTAATATGTTTAACATTTTTTCACCCCCCCCGACCCTGGCACCCGCGGCGGCGGAAGGAGAAAGCTTGTGACTGTATCGGCGGTTGATTGTTCATTTCATGAAAACAGTAGAAAATCTACTCTGTCTACCTTACTCATCACGCGAAGGCGGCTTCTCGCCTCTCCAGAAGCCTCTGGCGCTTTCCTTCCAAGGATGGGACAACCGCATGTGAAGATGGACCTCCATGGAAGCAAAATAAATGCGGCCTACATTCACCATCAAAAAAACACCAAATGTAGGCCATATTTGGTTACATGGAGCATTTGGGTCTTGTACCATGCTAGACCTGTTTCTTTTACTTGTTCAACTGAGGGAAACATCCTGTCTCAAAACGAAAGGAGCCTCTGGCTCGGATTGTTGAGCTGCTCCAGTTTCAGAACCGAACCAAAAAAAGTACATCCATAGGCTAATCCTGGTCCATGAGAACCTCGGAACTGCACATGAAAGATTCTGAGAATCCACAGGAATATTCTCTCAGAATGGCATGACTCATGACCTCCCGCCTGGCGCGCATCCCGCCGTGGCGGGGTTTCTTCGCAAGGTGCGCGTGCGTGCGCGCGCGGAGCTCGACGAACGCGGAGCTCGCCTTTCAAGTGCGCCTTGAGCTCACTCCCTGGGCGGACTGTCCCACCCATAAAAAGGATGCTCAGTGAGTAAAACCTGTTCTCAGTGAATCCTGATTCTCAGAGATCCTACTTGTCAGTCAAAACATCGATTCTTAGGGTGCAAAACCATCTCTGACTGGGAGATCTCCCAGTCTCGTCACACCGCTTGGGCGTGGCCGCGCGCCGCGAACGGGGAGGACGCCCCACGCCTTGATGATATCGAGAGGAGGCCACCGACCCATGGGCCGAGGAGGCTCGGGAGCCCTTTCGCGCGGAATCGGCGGAATCGGCTCCGGCTCCGGCGTCGGAAAACACCAAAGTGGCGAGATCTGGCGTGTTGGAAAAACGGGGTTGGAGTCATGGTTGATGTCTAATGGAAGTAGAAACAATGCAAAAAAACATCAAAATCATCTACATGGATCTTCACCTCGAGCAAGCTGCGGACAAGCTAGCTAGATTGAAGGAAGAAATCTCACATAAGTATAGCTCGGTGTTTTCCAGAGCAACACTTTTTCCTGGTTTCATTTGTCTTCCAACAGCGCCACCCGCCGCTCCTGCAACGGCAGGAGCTTGGAGTGCACCGGCGCATGAGGACCTTCGCAGGCGCCAAACGGGCGGAAGCGGTCGGTCAGTCGGTCTCGAGCCGAGAAGCAGAGGTCGTAGTTCGTGGGAAGGATCTGCTCCTGCTTTGCGGTCGCGCAATTGGGAACAAATGACAATAGATAATTGGAAACAAATGCGTAAAAAAAAAAGTAAGCACACGCTTTCGACTGTTCCCTCAATCAAAGGACATGGAATTTGAGTGAGCAACCATATAGGCTTGGTGAGAGTACCCATGTCCATCGCCAGTTTTATATACAGTATATATATATATATATGACTGATATATCATTAGTAGTGTTTCGATCATCCTTCATATAGGGAGGTGTGTTTTCCCTTTTCAGGGGTAGGGTGATGCGGTGCAAATCTCATCGATTGGGGTTGCGGTTCCTTGTTCCATTCCGGGCAATCCAGGTGAGGCCAACCAAATCCAGAAAAATTATCCGCACCTGCATAAGTATGCCCTTGGCAATCGTTTTTCAAACTGTGAGTCAACAGTGGGGTTGTTATGGTTCGACGGTTTTAATATAATTCATTGTATTCTTTATACTTATTCCGAGGCCAAGAGGCCTCATACCACATTTACCCTTCTCCCATGCCCTATATGGAACGACAAAGCATCTTCCCTTGCCCCTCCCTGGCTTTTTCGCAAGCCGAGGCTTCTGAAGATTTGAATGGGGCAGATGGGGATCACGGGTCACACTCCAAAGAAAAGGGACTTGAGGAGGGCCATGAGTAGCGAGTAGGGGCTGTTGTTTCTGTCTACGCGATGTGCCGTTTGAAGACATTGGAGCACAGCTAATTTGCGCATTGCTGCATCTGCATGGTGTGTTCCAGTGACACTTAATCAACCAACCAATAGTAAAAGGCAATCTATGGTGTGTTCCTTGTTTTGATCCAACAGCGATGCCCAGTCCACTACCGTCACCAAACCGCCAGACACGATGTTTCAAACCGCCCCAGTCCCACGCTCGTCTCTCCCCAGTCATCGCCAGTCCAGATAGTCATCGACGAAAGGTTCTTCTGGCAACAGCTCCTCTTTCGTCTCCTGGCACGGGACCGTTCTGCCGTTCAACCCGGGCGACTGAAGTCGCGGTCGCCATCCGTCGGCGGGACCTCGCTGGCTGTGGCGAGTGCGCAGGTCTCTTCATGGTCCAAAAGCTTCACATTTGGCGTCCAAGCCTGGCACATCCATCGCCTGACCCAGAACTACAGTATAGAAAAGATGTAGATTCTAGATGATTCGAGATCATTCACTGACCCGATTCACGAGCCCCCGCCCGCTGTTCTGTCTGATGGATATTCCGCATATCGAGAGAAGCGCCGTCCCAAACCATCACTTCGATGCTCGCAGGATGCGAGAGCAACCACGAGACCGTTCCCCTCCGCTAAACCAAGGGCTGATCCAACTCCATAGCAAATACCTTCTAGAACAAGGAGGTGCCATGGTTCCCAAGTGGTGCAGGATATTGTCCAACCACATCGAGAGAGCGAGAGAGAGAGAGAGAGATAGGGACAAAAAATGCCATGATACCAGCAGCAAACTGCTTAACGGTCTCAAAGCAAGCTAGTCTGTTTCTCATGCTCTCACGGATCATGTTTGGATCTTCACCAAAACGGCCAGACTCTTAGGGACACTTACACATCACCACGATGTAACATCCCACAAAACGGATAGATTCTCAACCACTCCCAATGGTCCTCATGGACTACCCGACTACCCCGACTGCACCTCCTCCTCCAGATCGTTCAGCCAACTGCTACGGCTGCCCTGGAGCAAGACTCCCCCATTTCTTGGATTTGCAGTCCAGTCCAGAACCGGGAAAAATTGAAAATAGTCCCCAGAAGGGGATTCACATAACAAGAATCAAAATATATTAAAATCACCCTAAGTCAATCCGAGATAAAGACCAATCCCCAAGGCGAGAAGCTTCAGGACCCAAGCTGACTTGGGAAGCGCAAGCCAGGAACCAGCGGAAGAATCAGAAACTTCTTCACCGAGGTGTAGAATTTCCAGGGGAGTCCCGGGAAGGTGTCTTTGGGTCTCAGACGTTGCGAAGGAATGAGGCTGTTTTTGGCCACTCGGGCGGTTCGCACGCCCCCGTGCCCGCTTTAAGACGTGGACCGTGTGGCTGTTGGTCAAAACCTAACATACCCAAACATGGTCGGTTGATATCCCTGCTAGTCCCATCTGTTCATTTTGGGAGTCTGTGTCATGACTGCCTAAATCCTGAAACCAGAAAGTCCATGAAAGTCCATGTGTCTCTGATGATCTGCATCGGCCAGCTCCCAGCCGTGCCGTTTGCCATTCGCGAGTGCCATGGAATGCTTGTGCGAAACCACACGCGTTTTTCTAGAAGAATGTGTTGACATTTGATCAACACAACAACTAGACTGCACCAATTTGATGGGGAAATTCAGCACCAGGCATACTGCAGCTAAACTCTTTCTTGCCCAGATGTGCTCAGATCCCTCACCCAGGAACCGATCGGATGTACTTGTGTATGGAGCTGTGCCGCAACTCGCTCCATGTGTTACCAACATTTGCAGCTCCCAAAACTAAGAAGGCTTCTAAAACCCATATCATCAGGTCAGTGGCTGAGTCACACCACACCACCTGACGACAGCTTCAGTAAGGGGACAGCCAAGGGACCGAACCGGACCCTGATCCGCTCGCCCCGCACCTCCGAGGTCAGCGTCATGCGTGGCTTGTAGGAGCGGCCTGGGGACCGCTGAGCCGAACAGCGAAGAAACGCGAAGAACGATGGCTGTCGACGTGTTCGCTCTTCCTTGGGGGGGGCCGCTCTTGAAGCTATATAACCCCTGGGAGTCCAAGACCATGTTTCAAAATGGTCTTTAGGTGACCCGAGTCCAGGAATTTCCCTTGCTTGGGCGCCAAAAAGAGTCTTTGGATGTCTTTGGACTCCTTAGGGTACAACAGTCTAGCCAGCCGATACCAATCTGGAACTCCAACCCCCGCAACGCTCGCCCGCAGCACTGGGTGGGCCCCGGACTCCGCCGGAGCTCCCGACGCTCGCTGTCCAGAAGCACGCTCTGCGCCTGACCAGCATGAAGCATGGCTTCGTCCCGCCAGGTGGCCCAGTTCGAGCTCCACCCACCAAGGCCCCCCACCCAACGCAGATGCGTGGTTCAGTCGGATTCTCCGGTCCTCGCCTGAATCAGTCGCTCATGAGGGCATGGCCTCGGTCCAGGACGCTCCGCTTCGCGAGCCGCGCGAGCCGCGAGCCGGGCGCGATCCAGCGGGCCAGGTGGCACGGAGAAACGGCTGGCACGGTGGTTCTGCTGCTTGCTTAGCACGACCGTTCTTCCACCTGGGCGCACCTCTCCCACCTGGGCAGAGACACCTGGGCGTCCCCAGCGGTGCCACGAAGGGGTTCGACTCGCTCCATGTCCCCAAGCCGTCCAGACCTCGATCAACGCGCTGCGTTGGAGGCACCACCGGAGTGGACCGATGAGGTGAAGAAGCCATGAAAAACAAGGAAAATGACTGATTGGATCATAAAAAATACCTTGGATCATGACCTAAATAAGGATCCATAAAGAAGCCATGATCCACTTGGAATACCTTGGATCATTGTTGTCTAAATAAAGGATAGTTTATAACATGTTGTCTCTGGTTGTGTGGGTGTCCAGGTATATAATATCATGTCTATATATGCACAAGGGCCCCACAATGGGAGGATATTCTTTTGGACCACCCGTTGTTCATGTCAGTTTGGCATGAAAAGGATGCAAGCATGTCAGGAATTCCACCTTTTGGCATGATTTCGGGTTCGAATTCAGGCACGCTCCCTTGGCACCCTCCCTCTTGGCATGGATGTCCATGTCGCTTTCGACCACATTGTGGAGCTTGTGCCAAGGGCTCAGCATGAGTTCGAAGCTGGTGAGACGGTGAAACCTGATTCCCGCTGCCAGCATTCAGCACGCAGGGTCAAAACAGGCTAAGCCGTCGGGACGAAGGCCCAAAGCAGCGAATCACAGGCTCCGACCCCGATCCAACGCCGTTCCTTCCAACGAAGTTCCATCAATTTGACACAGCTCAAACAGCCGATGGGGTTGCCACCAGCTCCCATCGCTGACCCCCGACGGAAAGGAAAAAGCTTCGCAGTCGCAGAAAGCGCTGGAGCATATTAATACCTCTCCCCCGGGGAGTTCAAGGCGATGTTTAGCATGATTGACCTGGTTTTAAGCGTAAAAATCATGAAGTAAAGCGATTAAATCTCGGTGCTCCACCCGATTCCAACGATTTGAGCTCAATCGGTGCTCAACGCAACGTTTTGGTCTCTGAAATCCCGGGGAGCAGAGGGGGGTTCGAGGCAGATCTCATCCGCCTCATCCGCGCTCGAAGCCTTGATAGCACCAGCAATCTGGGTTCACCACCCGGAACTCACAGCCGCGGCTCTCGTGCGCGAAGTTCATACAGCACGTCCACGCCTGGAGAAAGAGTTTTAGGTGGTAGTGAGGTGAGGGAGAAAAGCCACGAGATCCGGTGTTGTTTCGTTGGGCGGAGCTCACTTCTAGAGGTGTTTTGGAGACCTGAGAAACAGACTCTCAGCGCAGAGCCTCTGGATTTGGAGGAGGAAACAGAGGCGCCCTGTCCTCCCCCCCAACGTGGCTGAATATGACTTGTTGGGCACGCCGCCTCAGCGTGTGGCGTAGCTTCCAGCTGTTGGAGTGCAGTGTGTTCGCATGAAGTCACAACTTCTGGCAAATGAAGTGTTAGGTGGCTTGGGAGAGGGTGAAAACCACCGTGGTTTCGGCGCTTCGTTTTGGTCGTTGTGGTTGGATGGAGTGATGTGGCTATGGGTCAAAACCTGGGGACTCTGGGTTTTCCCACAGAAAATGAACAGAATGGTCTACCAGGAAAGTCAACCTACCAGCGCTCCAAGCTTTGACCCACAGCCATGTGGTCCAACGCTTCGACCGTGGTTTCGGTGTGAAGCGAAAAAACTGGGCAGCGGCATGTTCTCGCCGACGAGCCCCTTGGGATGGTGGTTTGATCGTTTCATCAATATCACGGCTCATCTTTCCATCCGCATTGCCCAAAGGATCCAAAAGTCTATGAGGTGGGGTGTTCCAAAGGGATACATACCGAAAAACTGGCCCACCAAGCGCGATCATGAAATAAAATAGCATCAAGTCAACCTGTACATCAAGTCACCTGGCAGTTCACCATGGCAACCGCCTGGCAACCTGTGGGCAACCCTGTGGCGCAACTCTGTCGCGCGCAACCCTGTGGAGACATCGAACTGTTTGATCACTGCCAGGACCCTCCAATAGGTGACCACCTGCGACTTACAAGTCTTATATATAAATCAAGTTAAATAAATCTCCAAAGCCTCCAGAGGAGACCTGTTGGAGGGTGCTAGCTGCTAGAACGCTTCGATCCGCCAATTTGATGCGGTCTTCACAGCACGTATTTGATGCGGCTTCAAACACCCAGGCGCTCGCGGTATATGTTTGACAGGTGCTCAGAAGACACTTTGTCTAAAGCGCTATCAAAACCCATGTCTTAGATTGTGGCACAAAAATATCAATCGGTCTGACCCTCAAGGGGTCTTTAAACGTGCCACAACCTTGTTTCATGGTCGGGACTTGTAAAGGTTCGGTTGTCTTAGCTATCTTGGTCGTCTCAAGGCATCTTAGCAGCGAGGGTTTTCCCACACAGCCACATGTGCATCTGCCATCACAACATTGTTCTTGAACCTGTAGACTGGTTCATGTTCCGAGCAGAAAAAGGATACAAAATCCAGCTCCTACTCACTTTCAAAAGAGTTGTTTTGGGCTGCCAGGACCTACATGTTCGAGCAGCAACCGCCACCATCTCTGGGCCTCACGCTTCTCTGCCTCATTCCAAACAAAGGTGCCAGGATGGTGATATTCTTTATACCTCTTGTCCTGGCCGGGCACTCACTCTGCACCAGGATGTGGGTGTGTGGGTGTGGCTACAAGGGTTGCTTCACGGGCAAGTGGACATCCGGGTCAGTAAATGGATCCAAAAGTGAATCCCCTCCCAACAAGTGTTTTGCACATTATGTCCATCCATTTGGGGGCGTTCATACAGCAACTTAACTTGTGCTTCACCACCACCTGGTTGCTACTTGGCAGAAACTCTTGGATCCTGGATTTTCTTCAGACCCTAGAGTAGATGATTCAAGACACGTGAAAGTCTGGATTTACTAAACAAAAAGACTGCGGGACTTCCACAGAAGAGACTCTCATTTCCAACTATACTTGACCTTACACTCGCAGTGGATTAAAACAATTGTCCTCTACAAACAGGTGGCTTTCCGCTTCCATGACTCAGAGAGTACCCCCTGTCTGTGCCATGTTCTTGTCCCTCTCCTGAGTCGTCAATGACAGATTCGGCCGGAAGCTCTCGTGCTGCACCGGGAAGCGGGACATCTTCTCATCTGCCAGAAGCTTCTCGTTCAGTAACCTGCCCCATTCGGGCAGTGCTATGCAGCGCACGTTTCATGAACAGGACATGGGCTTAGAGAGGGTAAGCATCCACCATTGGTGGCTTGAGAAACATACACTGTAAAACCATATCATTCTTGTGACTTGTGACTCTTGAGAAAATCTGATGCAAGTGATGTGCAACCCGCGCTTTTAACACTGACATGATGTTGACAGTATGTTCTAGCTGTCCACAGGCTTGGAGAAAGAAGGCCTTTCGGAAGAGGCAAATCAACCAATGCCACATACAATTTGGGCCATTTGGACCTGACCAGGCCCTTCGAAGTGAGTAGACCTCTCCGTTCCCGCCACGACCGACAGGCCACTGAGTGACCGCTTGAGCCTTGGTACCTACCAACCATGGAAGCTTGGGGAAGTTCAGATTGGACTACATCAAGTGGAGACTGCCTTGGTAACCCGGAATCCAATGTGGCTGTTCCTGTGCAACTTAAGTGACCTACCTAGCCCACTAGCGTTCCTGAAAGTAACGCTGAGCATCGAGAAGTGGACACCTCGTCTACCGTCAAAAACACCAACTCCAGAACTCCCCACATCCGTTCCAACAGCTTCACAGGCATCCGCCAGCTGGGCAGCGCTCAAAACCCCCCAACTTCCCAACCCCTTTTTCTTGACCCAGCCCACATCCGCATTCACCGTATTCGATCCGCCCACGCTTTTCCTCCGCTCAAAAAATAAACATCCGCCTCTGCGCCATCGCCTGCAGTCGCTCCTCCGACGCCTGCGGAAATTCCACTTTCAGCTCGCGCTTGAACTGCACCTGTGCCGCGTCTCAGGCGGAGGACCGGTCTCACGCGTGCCAAACGGGTTGGCTCGTGGTGAACATGAGACAAGAACTGCAAAGATCCAAAGCAAAGGCCGCATACAAAAGAAAACAATATTAAGTAGAAATAACTAGTAACATTGTATATCCGCCGACCCCAGCCGACATATAGTGAGTCCAAAACAACTCCTCCAACAACCACTTCTGTATATAGCTATAGAATGGTATAGACTATAGATTTCAAAATGAAACTGTCAAACCACCCATGAAAACTCTCCCTCTCGCTCTCTTCCCAACTCCACCCTGGGTCGTTGCTTCTTCACCCAACCCCCCCAACCCTGGACCCCCCAAAAACTCGAGCGATCTCGCGTTTAGGCCCCCGTTCGCCGTTCCCCCGTCCTCCCCCGGTTCCGGAACGGGCGTTCCCCAGGTCACCGCCTTCAGGTCGTGGAAGTCCATCTTCCGCTCCCGCAGCCGGTCGTTCATGTTGGCGATGGCCTCGTCCAGCGCGGCGTCCCGGCACGGCGTCCGGCAGCTCGGTGCGCGCGGTGGTGGTTTCGTTGGTTTTGGGAGGTGGGGGCGAAGGTGAGGAAGGAGATCTGAAGGAGCTGGGGAGAAAGGAAGAGGATCATTCAGCCCATGGAATCTGCATCAAGATTCCGTTTCGGAACGAGGTACCAGGTGTGCAGGGTGTCTGAAGAAAGCTGCCAAACGCATCACCGAAAGATCGACCAAGTCCCGGGTGCTCTTCGGAGCGGTCACTCCGGACGAACGGGGTGGACGAACGACCCAACGAACGGTGGGTGATTGCGTCCGGTGAAGTTGTAGGAGACCAACTGGAGAACCAGGCAACCTTGGTGACACTGGGCTTCTCACTAGAGAACCCAGTTTCTAAACAACTAGCAGGGAGACCCTATAGTTCCTCAATAGCCTGCTATTGGGACTGAACGATCAGAAATGACCAGCACCTTCCAACAGCTCTCACCTGTAAGTTTTCTCATCCTGATGAACCCGCCTGCGTTGGATTGACGTAGGCTTCGGTGTTGACCTTGTTGTCCTTGGCTGCGCGAGGCCCGTCGCGAGGCCCGGGGGCCGTCAAAACCGCTGATTTGGTGGGACTTAAACCAGGCGGGCTATTGGTGTAGCGAGAAACAAAGCTGTTTATGAT